AATACAAAAACATCATATATATCTTGGATAAGATAAGGACAATAGCATCAGGTGCTCCTATATGTCATATCGTTAAAAAAAGATGTTATCAAATGGCCTCAGCACGCCACATTAAAATATAACTGAAACGCTTAAATAACAAATGGACAGTTAAGATAAAATGCAGCGTTAAACTAAAATAATCTTTTTTAGAACGACCAATTAAATGTAGGTCTAATAATAAGTTCTTAATTAAGATAATAGAATCATCTGACGACCAAAGAAGAGTAAAAATCCATTAAAAATGCCTGATAAGATATGAAATAAATTCCTTAATTGAAAACTGTTTGTTGCCCACTACTGATCGATCTTGGCGCAAACAAAATCAAAAATCACGTGAGAAAATAAGAAGATCGGAGGAATGAGTTTGCTATGTGTATGAAATATATGTATTTCCGTGACGTCGAAAGCAAAATATGGAGTCAAATAATCGGATACCAGATAAGCTATCATATGTATATTCCTCGCACTTCTATGTGCTGAAAAGGCCAATGACCAATGCAAATTCAATTCCAATTTCAGCTGACTCAAGTATGTAGTATTCTGGAAGATTCTGGTTCACATTTTGAGTGGATCGAATCGGGGCAGAATGTTTTTAGAGCAGCCTTGGATCGGATTGGGAATGGGAGTTATCTGGAAATGCTTTCGTTATGATCGATTCGTTTATTTGAGTCCGCCCCATTATGTCTGTCGTAAATATATAGCTCGAGTTCCTATCGGTTGGCGATAAGCAGCTCCCCATCACACGTCTGCCGCTCGACTTATTGACACTTGCACCTGTGTGTCTGACTACAACTACTACCACAACCTTCTATATCTCTGAGTGCGTCGGTTGGCGGATTATAAAACTGTCAATTAAAATCATATTTGGGTTTATTGTTGCCAAATATTAAACATTACTCGTGTTAATCTGGCATTATGCGGTTCATAAATCGATAGGAATATAATTTACTTTATGGCCCTCTACTCGATCCAATCAAAAGCCAATCAGCAAGTGCATAAAGTTAGCTTTAAGTTGCAAGCCAAAAAAAAAAGGAAAATAGCTGCCACTGACCCAAAACCAGTAAATTAATATTAAATGTGTAATTTTCTTACCTTATGTGCCAGGTTTCCAAGTTCTTATCTTAATTACTTTTCGACACCTGCCTGGAAATGAATTTTTGCTTATATATATAGGGTTTTTATAGCCAAGACAGCGTTATTTAATGCTTAATGGGAATTACAGACGTCAATGGGCGATTTTGTTTCTTATAGACTATAATTAGTATGGAACTTAAATCATATAAACTAGTTTAAAATATTTAATTTTATATTTAAGATTTAAATTGTTTCTATGTATAATTTAGTGGCTTTTACGTTTTTCCAAAAGACTTAAAATCTAGTAAACTGTTTTTTTAGACAATATGGTTTATGATTATTTCACTATTTAACTGCTAAGGAAACTCTGTGTGGCAATACATACAAATTGAGTATGTATTATGATCTTTAAAAAGTTGTTCTTCTCCAATCCTGCCGTTAAATCTTATCAAATTGATTAGATTAATAACGATATATTTTATGGGGATATGTTTCCCCGTTTTAATGTTATAACACATTTTTATTGCGTCAATTGCAAGAATTTCCCTGTCAATCAATATTTAATTGCGCCAACCTTTTCCATTCGTAGCCTCGCCTCAATTTTGTTTTATTAAAAGTGGAAATAAAGTGAAAATCAATAGATCAAAATGGCTTCATAACGAGGAAAATTGTGCAAACAAGGATGACAACTTTGCGTGGACTATTGAGTAGCCAGAATATTTAAGCAGTGGAATAGGAGAAAGTAACCATTGAATATAAAGACACATCTATGTATGTATGTCCAACGCACTTTAATTACAGTAATTGTGAATCGAATGTTGATGGGCGGGGGAAAATGCATTTGCGGCGGTGTCAATTTTCCAGTGGGAGGCGATGGGCGGATCCCCAGCACGCGAATTGCTAAACATTTAATTGATTCCGTGGCCCTGTATTGCCGACTCCCGTTTCCCTCTCGATTCAGGAAATTACCGCTTTCAGAAACTCGATATTACTAGATATTTCAAGCGTATAAATAGGGCAAGCAGCCGATATATGTATGAATCTGTTGACAAGCAACATTGCAAGTATTGGAAATATTAAGCAATTTAGGGAACTCCAAAGCTAAGAGTCTTTGAAATCTTTGCACAACGAGCAAAGTTTATTAAGCATTTTTAGAAATTTAATAAGAAGAATAAAGCTAAAATTCCTTGAACATTTTCTTCTATTTTTTTTTTTATTTCTGGGTAAATGCAATATGAAGCTTAAAAACTCGCGATTTTAATTTATATACTCTATATAAATATAAGAAGTTTATATTTATAAATTTAACAAGTCTTCTTGTATATATATTTGTGTTCTGGGCTTAAATCAGAGAACCCTAGCTTGAAAAGTATCTACTATTGTTTTTATTTCTGTTTAGTTGCAATAGGATCCTTAAGAACTCGCGGGCTTACTCTATTTTTTTAATTCTTCCTAAAATGTAAAACAATCTCTTTTTGGAACACTTTCAAAACCGATCAATGTAAAGCTTAACTTTTCGACTAATATCGCATTTTGTCTACCTCTTCCAGGTGCCCATCCAATCGGATTTAGCTAATCCGCGGATCTGAAGAGGAGGAGCAGGCGTCGGTCGTTGGAGGCGCCGGCATAGAGTACTTTTCCGAGACGCGAGCGCCCAGCGGAGCAGTCGCCACCACGACGTCGACTTCGCCGCCGCCGCCGCGAGCCGCGCTGCTGTCACCAGCCGAGCATTTGGACGCCAGCGCCGACGATCGCGGGCGTGTCTACAAGCTCCGGAAGAAGAAATACCTGGACGCAGCACACATAACATAGGGAGTCGTCGGAGGAGGTGGAAATTGCAATTGGTGTCGGAATCGGAATCGGAATTGGTGCGGATAAAGATACAGCTACGGATACGGATACGAATCGGGTGCTAGGAATCGGTGCTAGGAGTTAGGATTAGGAGTTTAAAACTGGAATAAGGTGGCTATGATGCACATGACAATGACAATGAGATCAAAAATTTAAATCCATATGTTCCCAGGTGGATCTTAATATCATATCACATAGATCTTTTCAAAATAAATATAAATACAAGAGCAACGATAAAGCATGCAATTATAAGTACATAAATATTTTGATTTTCTTTAAAGAAAGCTAGGTATCAACAAAAGCTACATATTTATATAAATTTTGACAATCAAAATTCTCGCATGAATCCCAATTTGATCTTATATATTTTTTAAAAGACATGTTTTGATAACATAACAAAAAGTAAAAAAACTATTCATAAAGAAACCATAAATGATTAATTAATTAAAATTAACTTACATTTGAAACAAATGTATTAACAAATGTATATACCAATTAGTAGAAAGCCAAGCTTTTGATCTCATTTTAATATCACCGACTAAAAATGTATCAAATGCCTTATATTTGTATTAATTGTATTATTTTGTTCCTCTTTTCAGCATAATTAAATCCCAGGAGGAATCAGCGAGAGTTGGCAATGCCCGTTCAATCCCCCATCGAGATCAGCAACCGTGCCATCGAGCACATCGACGATGTGGATCCGCTGGAGTATCACGGCCACTGGGAGCCGGTGGGCGTGGCCCGGGTCCAGAACACGGGCACCTCCGCGATGGTCACTTTCAGCAAGCGAAAGCAGCAGCCATACATAATCGGAGGTGCCCTCGACACGGACATGTACGTGTTCGAGCAGCTGCACTTCCACTGGTCGGACTGCGACGAGTCCGGCTGCGAGCACACGCTGGAGGGCATGAAGTATTCCATGGAGGCCCATGCGGTCCACTATAACGCCAAGTACAAGGATTTCGCGGAGGCCAAGAACAAGCCCGACGGTCTGGCCGTCGTCGCCTTCTTCATCCAGGCCTGCGGCGAGAAGGACTGTCCGGAGTTCAAGAAGATCACCGAGGGCATCCGCATCGTTCAGAAGATCCACACTAGTGCATCGCTGGATTCCGGTGCGTTTCAGATTTCAGTCCACAACTGTCATAATCTTTTTAACCAAATTAACGTGTAATTGAATTTTTACTATCCCTCTTTTGCCTCTATTTAGATTGCCTATCGTGGATTGGACTGCAGGAGCTGAGCAAACATTATTACACGTACAAGGGCTCTCTAACAACGGCGCCGTACTTTGAAAGTGTCACCTGGATCATATACCGCACCCCCATCTACGTGTCGCGCGGCCAGGTGAGTTTTGGAACCCACTGGGATAGAATATGAATAAACTCATTCCTCTATTATATTGCAGGTTCAGGTGTTTCGCAATTTGCAATCGTGTCCCAAAGATGAGTCCAAAAAGATAGTCAACAATTATCGCGAGATCCAGCGTCCGCACAAGGACCCGGAAATCTTCTTCGCCCGCAACACCAATCCAAAGTCCAAGTTATGATCTGCTTGCCATATTGCATATGGCTGGGGTCCTATTTCGATACTCTACACTCAGAGCCACTCCTTTCCTATCCTTTCCCTTCGTATCCTTTCCTTTTCCATCCTACCGCCCACACAATTTCCTCCGCCCAATCCACTGTGAAAAGTGAATCCTAACTAAACTATTTCTATATGTAAACTTATATCTGTCTATGGTTGTCTGTAAGTTGCTTTTGTTATTTGCCTCATGTACATAGCGTTATATATAACTAACAAACATATATATATATATATATACGGAGTAATTACCATATGGTTACGTGTATGGAATCATTTTAGTCGGACGGAACACGCGGTTGCCTTGCATTGAATATTTCAGAGAAATATCGGGCACAACTACTTAAGACATCTACAAGAGACGTAGTTCTAACGTTTAAGTTAATTAGTTACACAGTTAAAGCGAGAAAAAACGAGAGAAGCGAGAAAAGCGATGAAAGCAAACCAACACATTTTGTATGTCCCAATTGAATTTATTAAATATCTAATTAAACATGTATAAAAGTAAATGTATTGTATCAAAACATGGGCTCATTGCGAGTTTCAGTCTGGAACAATGGCCTTTATCGAAGGTAATAATCTCTCCTTTGTCAAATAGAATATCACATGTTTTTTTTTTTTTTTTTAATTTGAGACCCATCTTATCTTATTTTTCGAGTAGCAGAGGCACTATGTTTTTGATAAACCAAGCCTTGGAAATGGCCAAGTGATCACCTTCAACGCCAAGGAAAACCAGTTTTCCCTCCTTTTCCATCTTCATCAAGCGCAACTGTGGAAAGGAGGAAAATATGAAAAAATATTAAGAAAAATATCAGAACAGGCACTGAATAATGAGTTTACCAAATTGTAGTTATATATATCATATAACAGAAATACTAAGTATTAACATACATTTTGATAGACTTTACTCTCGTTTAAGGGCTGAATGACTTTGTCCTGTCCGCTGGTGTAGAATTGAAACCACTGCGACTCTTTTGGCTGGACAATGGTGTCGTTCAGGAACTTAACCATCACAAATCTGCAAAACAAAATGTTTATGTTTATTAGCATTCTTTAGTATATCAGTAATAAAACTGCTTTGGTTCGGAATTCAATATATTTCCAGCTTAAGAGTTTGGACCCAGTGGACTTTCATCTATATTTACTTCTTCAGCTTATGGAGATTCTCTATGTAGAACTCGTTGAGGTATAGCTCATTGTTGATGTCCGCCAGAAATGTGCTGCCCAGACGATAATGGTTCTCCATTATCGGATCGTGCCAGTAGGTGGCCTGCACCAAATTATGTTGGGTCATTCTGCAAGAAAAAGGGAGAAGAACACAGTTTAGAAAGAGATGAAGACATGCATACTCTATATCCAGAAAACATTTTGAGTAGTATAAACAACTTGTGAAGAAACCGAACACTCAAATTCTGCACATACATATAACACATTTTGAGTAACGTAAACACCCCACAATTTACTGGCCTAAGCTACTTTTAAGGTTCTTTGTTTTATAAACCCGACTCCCGCTTGTTGATTTCTGGAAATACATTCAAGAAAGATGAATAAAAACAAAAATTACTCTTCTAAATATCGAATTCGGAATGATAAAATATGAAAACTATCATCATTTAAAAGGGGACAATTAAAAATTGGTTGCTTTAAAATATTTTTTGTTATAATAATTATATTAGATCTTATAACTCATAGTGCCTTACTATTATTACAGACCTGGTATCATATTTTACCCATGATTGTGGTCTTATATTGGATATTTTTGGCCACCAGAACTTACTCACTCTAAGTGGAACAATAATTATATCAGATTTTTTGAAACTCACTGTATTTTACTGCTATCACAGACCTGAAACCACCTTAACCCCGATGATAATGGTCGTGTGCTGAATATTCAGGAGCACCAGGACTCACTCTGAGTAGGCCACCGAGTTGAGGAGGCGGCTGATGTAGTCGCAGGCGCTGTTGGAGAGGGTCAGGCACATGGGCAACCCGAAGACGCCCTGGTGCTGTCCGCCCAGGGTGACGAGGGTCCTCATCGGCGGAGTGGGACAGCGCTGGGCCACCGCGCGCAGGAACTGGCCACCTTGCGAGAACCCGATGGCGTTGTAGCCCTTGGCCAGGCGCTCGTCCAGCAGCAGCTGCCGGCAGACGTACTCCACCTGCTCGTTGGGATGGATGAAGAAGCCGCTCTGCCAGTCCATCACCGGATTGCCGCCGATCTCCATGGAGCGGACGTAGCCGCCCTTGGTCTCCTCCACGATCAGCTTCATGATGGCGCCCAGGCTGATGGGCACACAGCAGGAGTCGCCCATGCCGTGCCACAGGACCGTGGGCAGGACATCCGGATTGGTGCCGCCGGCCGTCGGCTTCCACCACACGTAGCCAAGGATCAGCAGTACGATCAGGAGCAGTAGTATTAAGGTCCGGCACAGGCACATTGCACTACGTATGTATATGGACCGCAAGACAACACAACAATCATTAATTAGTTTAATCAAAGAAGAAAGCGTTATCGACTGCTTGTAAGAAATAACAATAAGAGCCAATGGTGGAGAAACAGCTGGCTAAAATAATGAGGGTACTCCCCTACTTTGGTCAGCATGTACCTAGCTAACTGTACCTAAAAACTAACCTAATTTCGGCACTTAACCCTGCCTAGGTACTTGAATATTTTATTTAATATTATATACATTAACGATTTCAGGATTTTTCATTTCGGTGTTTTTATTGTTGAATTCGTAATAAAATTTCCAATCGAATGGCATTCACAGTTAAAATTTTTTCAGTTTTTCAAATTTCTGCAAAAAATGATGATGTACCCCCTTACAAAGAAGTCAGAAAATTTGACATATCTTATTTTTTTAAAAACACGCTTTTCAAAATTCGGTTTTTTCGTCAAAACTATATTAATTGTTTTCAATCGATCAGGGATGGATGGCATAGGTTGCCAGCTGTTCAAAATAGCAAATCTTTTGACTTTGGGTCTTATTTTGGCAAAATTACAACAAAGGGACTCTTAAGAAATAATTTTGTTTGAAAATTCTTCCGAAATCCCAAAAAACACATTAAAAACTTGGTTTTTGCGTCAAAACCCTGGGAAATAATGGTCAATTGCTGGAATGTCATACACCGTTGAATTTGTAATAAAATTTCCAATCGAATGGCATTTCCAGCTAAAATTTTTTCAGATTTTCAATTTTTCGCAAAAAATGATGATGTACCCCCTTACAAAAAAGTCAGAAAATTGGACATATCTTATTTTTTTAAAAACACGCTTTTCAAAATTCGGTTTTTTCGTCAAAACTTTATTAATTGTTTTCAATCGATCAGGGATGGATTGTATGGGTTGCCTGCTGTTCAAAATAGCAAATCTTTTGACTTTGGGTCTTATTTTGGCAAAATTACAACAAAAAGACTCTTAAGAAATAATTTTGTTTGAAAAATCTTCCGAAATCCCAAAAAACACATTAAAAACTTGGTTTTTGTGTCAAAACCCTGGAAAATAATGGTCAAATGCTGGATTGTCATACACCGTTGAATTCGTAATAAAATTTCCAATCAAATGGCATTCACAGTTTAAATTTTTTCAGATTTTCAAATTTCTGCAAAAAATGATGATGTACCCCCTTACAAAAAAGTCAGAAAATTGGACATATCTTAATTTTTTAAAAACGCGCTTTTCAAAATTCGGGTTTTTCGTCAAAACTAAATTAATTAATTAAATGAATTGTTTTCAATCGAACGGGGATGGATAGTATAGGTTGCCATCTGTTCAAAACAGCAACTCTTATGACTAAGGGCCTTTTTTTTGGCAAAATTACAACAAAAAGACTCTTAAGAAATAATTTTGTTTGAAAAATCTTCCAAAATCCCAAAAAACATATTAAAAACTTGGTTTTTGTGTCAAAACCCTGGGAAATAATGGTCAAATGCTGGAATGTCATACACCGTTGAATTCGTAATAAAATTTCCAATCGAATGTCATTTCCAGCTAAAATTTTTTCAGATTTTCAATTTTTCGCAAAAAATGATGATGTACCCCCTTACAAAAAAGTCAGAAAATTGGACATATCTTAATTTTTTAAAAACGCGCTTTTCAAAATTCGGTTTTTTCGTCAAAACTAAATAAATTGTTTTCAATCGATCAGGGATGGATTGTATGGGTTGCCAGCTGTTCAAAATAGCAAATCTTTTGACTTTGACTCTTATTTTAGCAAAGTTACAACAAAAAGACTCTTAAGAAATAATTTTGTTTGAAAAATCTTCCAAAATCCCAAAAAACACATTAAAAACTTGGTTTTTGTGTCAAAACCCTGGGAAATAATGGTCAAATGCTGGAATGTCATACACCGTTGAATTCGTAATAAAATTTCCAATCAAATGGCATTCACAGTTTAAATTTTTTCAGATTTTCAAATTTCTGCAAAAAATGATGATGTACCCCCTTACAAAAAAGTCCGAAAATTGGATATATGTTAATTTTTTAAAAACACGATCTTCAAAATTCGGTTTTTTCGTCAAAACTAAATTAATTGTTTTCAATCGATCAGGGATGGATTGTATGGGTTGCCAACTGTTCAAAATAGCAACTCCTTTGACTTTGGCTCTTATTTTAGCAAAGTTACAACAAAAAGACTCTTCAGAAATAATTTTGTTTGAAAAATCGCCAAAAATTCAAAAAAACACATTAAAAACTTGGTTTTTGTGTCAAAACCCCGGGAAATAACGGTCAAATGCTGGAATGTCATACACCGTTGAATTCGTTTTAAAATTTCGAATGATGATTTAACCCTTTACAAAAAAGTCAAAAAATTTGACATAATTTATTATATAAAAAAACGTTTCTTTTTTTTAGCGGTATTACTGACCATTTGAATTGAACCAATAAGCAAATCAAAATAATAGAATACATTTTAACATCTATTAGACTGGCACATTAGGAATTTACATTCATTCAGTCTTTTCAGTATTATGATTAACAATTGTTAACCAAGACATTTTAAATTAGGTACCTGAGAACCTTTCCACAAGAAATGAATACCCTTGACGACACTTAGAGGAACAGCTGTTTAAGAAATCGATAAAAATTCAGTGAAATGGGGGAATACCCTAAATAAACAGCTGATTGCTTCTGTGAATTTGTTGTTTTTCAGCTTAATCACAATTTTTGAGTGCCCAGTTTAAATTTAATAGATGATAACAATCAACAAACTTAAATAGAGAAAAAACCGACCCAAGTGACATATTTAATTGCGTGTTTACGTATAATTATGCGTATTAAAAATCTCATCATGAAAGCGATGTTACAACAGCGTGGTAAAATAAACCTGTCCTTAGAAGAGTGTGATTTAGAAAGAACTTTGCTTGGAGGACAAAGTTTTCGGTAAGTACATAACCCCATTAACAAATATGAACTCACCTAAAGAAACATTTTTATAAATTTTAGTTGGCGATCATTATCCGATGCTAATAGTACAAAGTATTGTGGAGTCGCGTTCAACATTTACTGGGTGCTCGAGCAAGAAGAGTCCTGCATAAATTACGAGGCATTCGGCACCACTCCATTGATCGCAGTGGACTATACAACCTTAATATCGGACTATCTCCGTGTTGATTTCGATTTAAAACTTAACCAGAAGGATTGGTTAAGCCGAGATGAGAACTTTGTGAAATTTTTGAGCAAGCCTGTCCGCGTTCTTTCTCAGGAGCCATTCGAGAACATTTTTAGCTTCCTGTGCAGTCAAAACAACAATATCAAGCGGTATGGATAGGGATACATTTGGGTACTCCTTACACTTCATTGTCCACATTTATTAATTTCAGTATATCAGCCATGATCCAATGGTTCTGTTGTACTTTTGGCACCAAGATTGGCCATTTCAATGGTGCCGATGAGTACACATTTCCAACGATTGACAGATTCAAAGGCATCTCCAGCAACGATCTAAACGACCAATTACGGGCTGCTAAATTCGGATATCGGGCCAAGTTCATAGCGCAAACTTTGCAGGAGATTCAAAAACGAGATGGACAAACCTGGTTTATAAGGCTGAGGAGCCTGCCGTTCGAAAAAGCTCGGGAGGAATTGACCCAGCTCCCCGGAATCGGATATAAGGTGGCCGATTGCATCTGCCTCATGTCATTGGACCATTTGGAATCCGTGCCCGTTGACATACACATATACAATATTGCCAAGAAATACTACCTGCCACAGCTGAACGGTCAAAAGAACATTTCCAAAAAGGTTTACGAAGAGGTTTCGAAACATTTTCAAAAGTTACATGGACAATACGCGGGTTGGGCTCAGGCAGTGAGTACTCTTAAGTTTTGACCTTATTACACATTTCTTATGACATTATTTTTGCAGATTCTTTTTTCTGCTGACTTGGGACAATTTCAAAAATCATCCAAAACTGATTGTAACAATAATTCAAATAAAAAGCTTAAAAAGTAATAAATTGGGTTGATTGTTTTTATTCTTAGGAAGATACTTTTGTTTATAGATCATCTCTTTATTACCACGCAATGACACTCATGAAGACCCATCAAAATGCAATGCATCTTGTTTATATTTAACTAGTTCATATGTTGCCATTGCTGGTATTGGTATCTAATTTATTAATTTTTTATCAAGAGCAAAAACTTGTTTTTTACATTGTTTCTTTATTGCTAAACAAAAAACCTTATACAGATGTAAATGATTAAATAAAATGCACATTAAATGTCCGTTATATACATCGCCATGTTTATGTGTACAGTACTCGCTCGAAATGCAAGCTTTGATATTCGATTTTTTTTAAGTATTATTCCCCATGCATTTTGATAAACATATGTAAAATATATTAACAATTGCTACATTTCAATTGAAAATAAATTTAAACTTTTAATACAAATGTCAAAATTTTTCTTAAATAATATTACAATTTAAGATGTAATTGTGTGATAAATTATGAGAAAATTTTAAAATAATTGCCAACAAATAAAGGACTAATGAACCATGATTTTAAAAAATTGAAATTGAAAAAGTTCATGGGAAAATATTGCAATGTGTTGTTCTCTAGGAAAACTTTTAATGCGGCGAATGAGTACTTTACGAGTATCAGTATCTTTATCCACATTCGTATCCGTTTCTGTACCCTTCAATATATATTTTTATCCCTGTCTAAAGGACGCCGTTCGATTCCGCCGATCCCGCTGATCCCTGAGTGCCCTGTTGTTGTTGCTGCTGCAGCTTGCTGCTCTGGGAGAAATCGATACAGGCGCCGGAAGTGAGATCGATCTCCTCGGAATCGGATCCATCCGATCCCTCATCAGAGTGTCCGGAAAGGGCGGCCATTCCGCCCAGTTCCATGCCGTGTGTGGGCGCCTTGTAGAGCTTTAGTTCCGTATAGGTCTTCGATAGCTTGTCCTGATCCTGGGCCTGCTGGTGTGCCTGCTGCTGCTGCTGCTGTTGTTGTTGCTGCTGCTGCTGCTGGAAAGCCGGATGCATCATGGTGAAGCTCCCGGAACTGGGCCCATTATTCACCCCATCGCCCATGTCGGAATCCTTGCCGCCGGCGGAGAGGTTCTCGGGCGTTTGGCTGGGCGGTCGAGTCGGAGCTCCAGGACCGGAACCGCCCACCTGGCCCGCACTGCCGCCCATGACGGGGGGCGTGCCCAGGCTGAGGCAGCGCATCCGCCAGGCGTCCTGCAGCAATTGCAGTCGCGCCTGCTTGCGCCATTTGGCCCGTCGATTCTGGAACCACACCTGCGAATCACAAAATGGATTGCAAAAATCCTGAAGTTAATTTAGGTCGAACTTTCCTGTATAGACTAAGAATTTATTTTCACAAATCAATAGTACCTATCAAGAACATGTTGCTTAGTTTTTAGGTATCAAGAAATTAATTTGTTATTTATTAATTTACATAAGATAGCTTTTTCGGAACCACTCAAAAACAAAAAAGAAACAGTTTTTTGAAATTATACCCACACTGTTGAGAAATCGCAGCCCAAAGTGTGTGCTGCACACTTTATACACTATTCAAAAATATGTCTTTTATTTTAAGAATTCAAAAACGTAAATTATACTCAAGAAATTAATTTGCAATTTTCCAATTATATAGTTAATTTAAAAATTATAAATACATTGTTTCAGATGTGTGTGCTTCAATCTTTTTGGACTTTAATCATAAGAAATTTATCTTTCCCTTTTCACTTAAGCCATATTTTAAAAACTTAAGCCATAATTCTGTTCGTACAATTGTTATTTAACTCAGTGCTTAATTTTCAGACGCTTCAGTAAAATACATATATGGAAATCTACTTTAACAAGTCTACGGTTATAAAAACTACCTCAATTAAAATGACTTTAAATTGTTGTCCGAAGCTTACAAATTTATTTTCAAAATAATGATATTCAATTCTGTTTTCTGAGGAAAAGGTTACAAATATACAACAGCAACATATTTAAAGAGAGACAACTAAATAACGGAAATTATTTAATAATATAATATTTTAGATCCACAATTATAGCAATATAAGAAAAATAGCTTATATAATAAACGAGTAAAATAAGTCAAACCCAAAACAAATGACCAAAACCTTGAGCAATTGTTATAAAGGACTTGATTAAAACGGCCTCGAAAAGTATGCTACTGTTTTTAATCTCGCATTTTCTTCGAATTTCGGATATCGATGGTCAGGGATCAACTGACTGGATACATTGCCTGCTTTCTAAGGGGGATTCACCTGGACGCGCGCCTCGCTCAGGCTGATCCTCAGGGCCACCTCCTCGCGCAGGAATACGTCGGGATAGTGGGTCTTCTGGAACAGGGCCTCCAGCTCCTGCAGCTGCTGGGGCGTGAAGGTCGTGCGGTTCCGGCGCTGTCTTCTCCGGCCAAACATATACTCCGTGAGCAGATCTCCGGGCAGTGGCGATATAAATGGACCAGCCATAATTTGCCTTATTTAGAGTGGAAAAGTTCGTTTTCTGTTTATTCGGTTTTAAGTGTTATTGCTATTCTTTGGCAATGGTTTTTTTTATTGTTATTTTCGTAGATTTTTTTATTGCTTATGGAAAATTTTGAAGGTATTTTCTTGTTGATTTCCTTTTTTATTAAATTTGTAAGTGAACATTAACATTATACATCTGAAAACTTTTCTTCTTGAACTTGTTCTTTTATTGTTTCTCTTTTATGTAATTTCTTCACAGCAAAAAAAAAGGTTTTTTTTTATTTTTAATTTTATATCTTTCATTACATTTTTTTTTAAATAACTATTTTTTTTATTGCTATTTTATATTTTGTTGATCTATTTTCTTATTTTGTATTTATTTAAAAAATTAATTTTTAGTTTGAGGCTGTTTTTCATTGTATTTCCCTTTTTTAATCTTACAATTTTATTCACTCACGACACACGAAACAAAATAAATATTTTTGAAAATTGCTTTTCAAATCGCCACCAATTGGCGCCACAAAAAAAAATTACTTGCGAGGAGAGGATTTTTAATTTATAATTTTCGGAGAGATGCTTTTCGCTAAGCGTTTGGCCAGCGACTGTGGAAATGCAGGCAGCATCCTCCGGCTTTTATGCAGCTGCCAAAGGACTCGGGCTAATATATACATGTATTTGTATATGCATTTGTATGAGTGAGGGTGCGCCTGCGACTCGCTTTATAATTAAGGACCTTACACACACAGTTTAAAATTCAGCTAATTGTATTTTTATGACTTACTTGTTGCTTTAAAAAACCAAATTTAGCTATAAAAAAACTAATACAATCATCATTTATTATTGATGTTATTTTATTAAATCATTTTTTAATATTAAACAGTATTTATTTATTCTTGTTTGCAATTAGTTCTCGCGTGCTTTCTCTCTCTTTTTTTGCTGGCTATGACCATCTCCTTCTTTCTTGGGCCACGCTGCGCATCCTCGGAAAGTTAATCTCGCTCTCTGATTTGTTGCAGCCAAAGCTTTCTCCCTCGGCTCTCCTTTCTCCCCGGATTGTTGTTGTTTATTGTCTTCTCGTTTTGACTTCGTTAAATTACGGCACAAGCACAAAAACCTCATAAGCGTTGTTGTTTTGTATACAGTGGGCTAGATCTTGAACAATAATTTTAAATAACAGAGAAAAAAAATCAGCACAAGCAGAATTAATGCAAAAACCTCTTTATTGTTTGTTTAATTTTTTTTTTTATAACGCTAAGGTTGATAATCATTAAAAATATTTTTTTTAAGGGCATGTGAACATTTTCTAAATTTAATAAAGTTATTAGAATTAATTTAACAAGACGTTTGCAAAGCAGATACCATTTTATTTTTATTAATTTAGCTTTTTTTAGCAGTATCAAATCCAAACTAACATAATATTTTAGTTATTATATAATCAATAGGATTTTTACATTTTGTACTAGTTATTTTGTTTTTTATAAACTTAAGTTGTTCTTTAAATTTTCTTATTTTCATATTCTTAATTTGTAGCACTTTGTTCCACTGTACCTGTATTGTTTTGTACATGAAAAAGTACCTGTAAATAATAAAATTGAAATCACTTAATGCTGCCGGCAGCGGCGTTGGCAGCGACGTTGACGTCGGCAGCAGGACAATGACAATAAGGCAACACCCCACAAACACACATATACACGCAAGGGAGGGGGGTGAAAAGGACGAAGACGGAGTGGGGAAAAAGGAGGGAAGAGCACAAAAGGGGCATAAGAAAATGAGGTTGCCACCACAGCTGATGATGAAGATGAAGGTGGAGCAGAGGAGGTGGGGTTGAGAAAGGAAGTGGGGGAAAACAATAACTATCTCTTCTTTTTCACCTCCTTCCCCACCCCGTTCCACTCCCTCCACTTGTATGTGTGTATGTGTGTTAAACAAATGAAGGGATGTAATTTTCTCATTTGCCTGGCATTGTGTTTTGTTTTTGTTTCGCCTTTTTTTTTGCTTCGCATTTTTTTTTGCGCTGCGCTTGCGCTGGAAATTATATTTATTTATTATTTATGAAGAATAGGCGTGGCACTCCACCGCCCCCCGCCCACTTTTCGCCACCTGCAGGCGCTTTTGTGTGCAGCCTTTTATTTCATTTGCTTCCTTTTGCACACAAGCCAATCATAAGCGAGACCAGATGTGTCTGTGTGTGTAAGTGAGAGAGTGCGTGGCTGTGTGTGTGAGGGTTGACCAGGATGACAAGGATAACGAGGATAACGAGCTGAAAACAACTGACAGCGCGACGTTGACAGGCTCATTCAAATTACGCGAAATTATCACAGAGATGTTTCATTGTTTTGGGCCGTGTTTATAATTTTTTAAAATAACTGAAATTTTCTTTTTCAGGCTTTTATATTTATTGTGGAAAATAATTAATTGATTTTGCAAATTATAAAAGTTGGTCGATTTAAAAATTTCATAATTAAGTTGTAATACTTAAAAGAATTTATTTTTTCAAAAATTATAGCAATGGAAGTTAAAAGTTGAAGAAAAGTTTATTTACACATATATTTTTCTTCAATGTTTTAATTTAGCCTATTACAGAAGTGTGTATTTTGGTTATAATACATATATGTACACTCGTAAATACATATTTTGAAATGTTTTAGAAGATCAAATAGTTTTGCAATATATGTAAAACTTTTAGTTTTACATTGTAAACAGGCTGTTAATTTATTTCGGAGTATTTTTTTGTTATTTCTTTCATTTTTGTAAGTTTAAATGGTTATTAACTATGGCTTTCACACTCTTCGTCCTGTGTTATTACCCCTTACTCTTCTTTCCCTTTTTACCCCCCCCTCTCTCTCTCTTACGCTTACTTCCTGGCATTCCCTCTGCGCCATTTTTAATTTTGTAATTTGATGCTGGGTTGTTATGCGCTTGTTGTTGTTTCCTGTTTTCCGTTGTTGTTGTTGTTGGAATTCATTAGGCAACGCGTTTTCCACCTGAGCGAGGAGTTTTCCCACCCACTTTTCCCTCTCTCTCACTCACTGTGTATGTGTGTGTCCATTGTTTTGTCGCGCTGATTGGTCTTTCAATCTAGATGTGTGTGTGTGAGCTGCTGTTTTTCGTGTTAGTTTGTGTGTGTGGTTGAGTGAGAGCGTCCCATTGTTGTTTTCCATCTCGCTCTCGTCGCTTGCTGCCGTTGTTAATTATTTATTTCAGCGCGCTCCTCTACTTCCGCTCCTTGTTGCCTCTCTGGCTCCCCTCTGTACCTCTTTGCCTCCTTGTCTCCACTCTTCTTCTCATTTATTTACCGCTTTTTGATTTAATATGCCGCCAAAACAAGAACAAAATGGCGTCTGCTCAATGTTCGCTCTAAAGTAGGCAACAGTTCTTTTACTGAGTTTCATTTGCAAGGATATAGTTTTGTTAATTAACAACCGAAATCTAACGTTATAATAAGTGAAATCATGTATAACTCAATGTTAGTAATTGTATAATTCTAAAGGAATTATATTGCTTTAATAATAAAATCAAGCCAACAGTATTTTAAAATGATTTCTGATAATCGTCGCTGGTGGTTTTTTTAAGAAAATTTTTTAATCAACAAATATTTTTACATATCTGATTATCTTACTTAAGAATTTATATTTTTAGAATTAGTTATTGAATGAAAATAATTTAATTTTGATAAAAATCAACCAATTATTACAAAATTAAATATTAGCTTTAGACAACGTACATTTTAATCAAAGCTTTACAGACAACCCTGCATTTTCAATAATCAAATATCAATAAAAAATTATATTAATCCAAGTATAAAATAGTGAAATGTACAGGAATATGTTGAATTAAAAGAGTTCTCTTTGAAGTCTAAGCCCGTTTTTCGTCATTATGGTAACGTAGGTTTTAAACTTAAAAAATCCATACGTTTTCTCAATTTAAAATCTTAATTAAGCTTATTGAATAACTGAATAATATTCCTAATACTTAAAGTCTTGTTATGCTATAAAAGAAATGTTTTTTTTACACTTTATTTCAAACATATTTAAAAAGAATGCATTGATGGTTACTTTAAAATAAAAGATGTTAAAAGATTTCCACTTTCAGGCATCTTTTGACGTAGTTTTATTTGACAAGACTATTACAATAATCTTATTTGGATATTTCTTTCAAAAAAATGGTTCGAAAAAAACTTATGATGGATTCCATGCCCATAATTTCTGCGATATTCTTTTCAAAAACAACAAAACAGAGGATAAACAATGAAATTTCGCGTGGCTTGCGCGAATAAAGATGAATTCCCTGCGGTGAAAGCAATGATGTTGTTAGTGGGTGGTTTTCGCCAGGATTTTGGGTGGTTTTACGCTGGTGTGTTGTTGGTTTCTTGGCCGCCAAAGACGCTAGTTAATTGGAATTTTTAATTATGATTTGTCAATGCCGGCAAAAAAAGCCGAAACAAAAAATGATGAGGGGAAAAGCCGAAACAATAAGAACAACAGGACAAAACATGGGGGAAACGAAACCCGCTGGTTTCGACGTGGGAGTGTCCTGGTGCGAAATTCATAGGATGACAAAAGGAGGGGTAAACTATGGAGGTGGAATTTTGGTTTTATGCTTTTTAAGCACATTACGCATAAAACTAGGTCCTGTAATTTCGCTCCTCTCGCTGCTATTTATTTCATATTTTTGTATTCCTCTCTCTGTTGCATTTTGTAATCATTTTAATTGCCCCAATAATGAGTGCAGCCTCCCCTTTCCTCTCCTCCTTTCCCCCTCTTCCCCCTCCCTTCGCCCACCTGGCACTCGCTTATGAAAATCATTAAGTTAATTACATTTTTTGCACGCCAGAGAGACAGAGAAAGGGTGAAAAAAAAAGAAAAACACAAAAATTATAATCAGCGCCACACAAAAGCACACCGTGATGTTTTTTAGGAACGCAGGGTGGGGGTGAAAGGGGGCGTGGTCCAGGCACCTCAGCTGAAAAATGGGGGAAAAAATGCTAAAAACAACATGAGAAAATATTTCTCATAATACTAATTGCATAGTCACAATGTCATTTTGCCAGGGGGCTGGGCAAATAAGGGGAAAGGGGGGTGGACAGAAGGAGGTGGAGAGGGGGAAAGGGGGCTTAGTAGGCGCCCATGACAGCTGTCTGTCAGCGGAGACAAGCCAAAACGAGATGAGAGATGCACTCAACTAAAAACATGAGTTTTCTTTAATAGAAATACCAAAAAATGATACTATGTTAATTCCAATATGGAGTCTCTAGAATTTGGGAACAGCTTTTAAATTAGTTTACCAATTTAAGAGGAAAATAATTATATTACCATTATACTAAAATGTTTATTAGAAAAAAACACACTTATTAAATTAAAAAAGAAAAACAACGTAAAAGTTCATATTTGAAGAAGAAGAAACATTTCACAAATAAAAGAAAAATAATTATTAATGTAATCAATGATGAACATTTAACATTTGGAAATTTGCTAAGCGCAGATCTTAAAAAAAAAAACCTAACTTTATATTGTAATCAATTAGAAATTGATTGAGCTTCCATTATCAACCATTGACAAGACAATAGTGTATTTTATTTTAAAATTATTTTCCACACATATCCTGTTCTTTTTTTCTTTTCGTGTGCTTTGTAGGGGAACGGGATGATGAAACTGAATTTATGCTGGAAATGCAGCCAAGCAAAAACAACAGCAACAGCAGCAGCCACGATGACGGGGAGGACGACAAACCGCCGTATCCGGGAACTCAACTCAACTCAACCAGCAAGGACTCGGCATCAGTCAGAGCCCGGTTCACAAAAGAAAATGAGTTGGAAAAAAAAAGTAATTAAAAAAAACAGCAGCAGCGGCAACAACAGCAGTACTAAGAGAGTACAAGAAATGGATATTTCGACCAGGTTAAGACGAAATCATGATGAGCTACTACATAATAATAACGAATTTTATAATAGAGTTCCTAATTTGTTATTTTAGTTATTCGGTTTCTGATAGATGAAACTTTGGATGCATTCGATATTTAAATAACTTTATATATAAGTAATTGTATTTTCTTGAAATCAATAAGCCTACTGTACAATATATATATACAAGAAATTAATCATTATAAAATTTTAAAGCAGGCTAGTTTTATTAAATAATTTATGCACTTATCTGATCTTCACACCGAAATAATACGTTTAAAACCAATTAAAAAAAAAAAAACTTTTTTTATATCGCATATTGTTTTATTTAAAATATTTCATGAGGTTCCACAGGCCGAAACGAAGCTGTCCTGTCAGGCTGCAGAATGTCAAAGGACTTGAGGCTGTCGCTGCTCGGAAAAGAAAATTAAAATGCATTAACACAACGCAACAATGTGGGCAAATGTTAACATTGAGCGCTAATTTTCCACATGCCGCTGCAACTGGTAAATGTGTAGGCTTTTCCAGAGGGGGAAAACAAAAAGGGAAATACGAGGGAAAATGTGACAGACAGTAGACAAAGGAAATTGCATCTGTAAAAGTTGTTTCGGGAATTAATGGAGGTGATGGGGTGGCGATGAATAAGTTGTTTTAAATTTGTTTAAAATGCATGTATACTTGCGATTTAACTTTTTTAAAAAATAACCAATTTTTGGGGGAAATATTATTATTATTAGGACAGAAAACACGAGTTTGTAAGATTTTTGTTATGTTAACTTGGCCAAACACTTAACTTTCTTTTTTGTGCGGCTAATGTGTAACTTGTGCAGCTTATGATCTAATCTAACAAATGTAATCATTTCCGTTACAAATTTGACTAATTTTTTTAAAGACTTTTTTGTAACATCCGAAAGATTTATTGTTGTGCTAATTTTTGTGTTCCAAGCTACAAGTTAAAAATACAAATTTGCAGATGTAAATGTCAATCAATTTTAACTGGTAAAATAATAAATAACAATAAATATTAATTACAAATTCAAACGAGATTCAAAATAAGATATATGGTGGTTTCATATTACCCGTAACTTATATCCAACCACACTGATTTTTCCTCCTCGAATTAATTCATCAAAAGTCGAGAAATTATTCGCATTCATTTGACCAAAATCAATTTTGTAAATTATAATGTATTATGGGATTTTACGTGAATGAATTTATAAATGCGTGCACACATAAATCCTTTTATTTTTTGCATCTCGTCTCAATGGAAATGCGGAAGATAAGGGGAAAAAGCAGCCACAGAATCGGATGTTGCATCAATTATATTGATTGCATTTGCATTGCAGGTGCATTGGAAAAGTGCAATAATGCAAATGCATTTTGTTTGCAATTTTGATTTTGATTGAGTTGCGATATGCTGGAATTTATTGGCCAAAACAGAAATGCCAAAATGTATTTGGCCTTGTCATGTTGAAGATCTTAATTTGATTAAACATACTGGTTAGATGTTGTCGATATGGATATGCATTGATTGGTTAGATACGAATCTTGTATATGATTCTTTCTTTTTTTTATGATTTTTATTGATTGTCTGACTGTTCTGTTGCGACCGCCATGTTGATTTAATAAATCTACGAAGATGAAATGCCCTCCCTTCTATGTAAATCCCCATGTTTCATTTGCCTCTGCACTCTTTCCCAATGATTTTCTTCTCTTTTTATCCCAAGTTTTTCGACTCGAGACAATGAACAGCGACAGAATTTTTCATTGTTTACCGCGAGTTGAGACCATAAAACTACTAAACAAAACAGCCACGCCTACTCCACCGCCCAACCGCCCATCATCAGCACCAGTCAGCGCCGCTCCCATCATATCCCTTCGCACACTGTAACAAAATAATAACAAAAATGTATTAAATGTCATATTAAATGTATGTAAACATGGCTTGCTCTGCGCTATAAAGTTTGAAATTGCAAAAGTCTTGATGATTTTTAATAATTCCAAATTATTATGAAAGTATATGCACTTTCACCGTTGTATTTTCGTCCAATTCCTGATACCCATCAACCTTCATCCATTTTATCTTCTCATGAGCAGGCTTCTTGTTGGAGTTATCCCTGCAGGAGATCGTATACCATAGGATGTAAATGGCATACCCGCCATAGGTCAGAATGCCGGCAATCAGAAAGGAAATGATGTAGGTGGCAACCCTATAACACGTGCCACTGTAACCCGAGGTAAGCCTATAGGCGAGTACCGAAAGGCCGATCCGAGTGGATGTGGGATGCTTCCAGAACGGCACTGGGCGAATCTTCTTCCATTCCTCGTCGCTGAGGAGATTTTGCAAGGACACGTGGTCCTGAGCGGAGCTCAGCGGACGGAAGTGCCCATCGATGACATGGTACAGGTACAGGGTCTCACCGTCGAAGGCCGAAAAGCGTCGGCGCAGCGCCGACGGCATGGAGAGATCGGCAAAGGCCACTCCCACACATAGACAGGTTTCCAAACCGGTGGCCAGCCTGTAGAGGTTCAGGTTCAGGTCCTGGCAGTCCGTCTGGGTTCCCGGACAGAGCAGGAACAGCCACTCGTCCTTGAGCAACAGCATCCAGTTATCGTCGTCGATCTTGGTGACGATGTCATCTCCAATTCCACGTCCAGTCTTTTTCGAAAGCATACAGCCCTCGCCATGGGAAACGAGAACCAGCATTACAATTAGAAATTTCATTTTCCTTAGTAACAGTTTTTCCGTTTTGTTCTTTAGTAAATTATTAGCAGTTTTACATTTATTTACATTTTTTCACCTTTTTTTCTCTGGGCAAATTTGTTCAGCTTTGACACTTTCTTTTTATGCGTCAAAAACGAAAAAAGTGAAAAATCATTTAGATATGAAACCATCGGCAAATAGCGCCTATTACACGACTCTGAGTTGTCACCTCGGCTTTCGATATTTTTTGATACTTTAAAAATGCAAAAATAAAAAGAATTTTCAAATGTGTATTCAAAACTTTTTATATTTAAAAAAAAACTAGTTTTTCATCATATGGCATTAGCAATCCAAATAGTTAGCAACTTTTTTATATTTTCGTGAAGCTACTACTATAGAAAACTACACACTTATCATTGGAAAATTAAAAAAAAAAAAGATTGATAAAAAATGTTTTATTTATTCCAATACACAATGCAAATGAACGAGTTCTCTTTAAATGTTATAAAATCATTTAGTACAGTAGATTAAAATGTACATTTTAAGGAATTAATAACAGTTCTCATTTCCAATGGAAAACTGAAACAACATCCAAGGTTTTGCTTATTGGTAATTATGCATTATGATAAATTGTTCTATGCCTTAAATTATTAAGACCGCAGCTGTATATATTCTTGTATACTTTTTACCCTTGCTGGAAAAAATGAAAAATTCAGGTGGCAACTCAGTTGAGAACTTTCTTCGATTTCAGAGGGGCCTTATAAAATGTGGCAATAATATTTGGTTTTGTTTTTATTAAACAACTTTTGTATGATTTTTTGTATGATTTTTCTTATATTTATCTTAGTGTATAAAAGTCGGAGGCTGCTAGAGGCTAGAGGCAAATGCAGTCAAGCAAATGCACGCGGGTTGCGGAGAAAGCGGCAGCTTTGGGTTAGAGGTGTGGGTTCAGGGGCGGTGTGGTTGGTGGAAAAGGGGGTGGGGCGGAGGAGGAGGTAGGATAAGATGGCTGCGGCAAAAATTAATCAAAACATTGCATAAAGGCAGCAAAAATAATAACAATAACAATGTAGAACGTCAGGCAGAAAGCGGAGAGACGTTGACAGCAGTGCCCCACCCCCTGTCACCCGCCACCCGCCTGCACCACCCTCTTTTCACCCACTTTCCAAGCCCCCCACACCCCTTCACTCCCCTTGAGATGATGATGATGATGATGATGACGACGCCACTGACACAAAAGCAGCAAACAACTGTCGACAAGGATCTCATTTGTTATACTGATTATGTTGGCGCCTTCCAATGAGAGACAGAGACAAAGACAGAAAAGGAGCGACAGGGACGGCAATGGGGGGAAGGATATGCAGGATACAGTCGGTGGGTTTTTGGGGGAGAAGAGGACGTCAGCGTCCTGAAATTGCTAAACAAAATGCACACCAAGAATTCAATTCACATCAAATCTCTCTGGAAGCCGAGAAATTTTTCATTCCTATGATTGTGTTTATTTTTGCAACGCAAACATATTAGGTAAATCCAAATAATGGCTTGTTCTTTCTGTTGTCCCAACCATTTATTTATTTGATGGCTGACAAATATTTTCCTCTTAACAACTATGCATGCACATTTTTGAAAGTGAAAACCCATTTACACGAATTTGGAGTAAAATCGCGCATAATTTTGCTAAATACAATTTACATTAACATATTCACGTGATTAGATTAGCTAACAAAGTCATTAAATTACAAATTAATAAAAGTATACAAGATTATAAAAAAAAAACATTAAAAGGTCTTTACTGGCTAATTCAATAGTCATTAAGCTGAAAATGTACTATTTTTAAAAGCGTTACGTAATTGTAAAGAGTTTGTTCATTGTATCGAGTTTATATATTTAGATACTCACCCCTAAGCCACAAATCGCCATCAAAAACAAATCAAAACCAAATCAACACAAATAAATCAAGAAAACAAAAAAACAGCAAGCAAAAAAGTTAATTCATGAATCAAAGAGCATTCGGAGGGCCTTGAACTTGAACAACAATTGTTGGATTATCAAATCAAAAACGAAAAAAAAAGTGGAAAAAGAATCAAAAACAAAACAAAACCACTGCCAGGAAAAAGGGGGTGAAAAGGGGGAGGTTAGTGCAATTAATTAAAAAGCTAGATTCACACACACTCGCCGGCAGACAAAAAAAAAAAAAAGACCACATGTGTGTGGAAAAAAAGGCAGAAAACTTTGCACAAATTAAAAAAAAAATAACAAAGAATGGTCGACCGTGCATTCGATTCTCTTCTTATTCCTGCACTCACTCTCTCTTTTTCTTCCATTTTTTCCCTTTAATTGCCGATATCTTTGATTTAGCTATACCTAAAAAGAGGATAGTTAAGTAAGTAAGTGTTTTGATTATGCACAAATATTTTAATATTTTCGATCTTAATAAAAATTTTAAAAGCGGCTTAAGAACAAAAAAAACCCAAACAAACTTATTATAAAAACCCTTGAAAAACTTAGAGTCTGTTCCTATAGGACATCAAAAAAAAAAAACTTGAAAATAAAATCAGTTTGCCAACACATCATATTTTAAAATGCAAACTGAATTAACCTTGACTTAAATGAAATCGTAGGTAATTGAATTCAAATCAATTCGATGCCAGGGGTCGACACTAATTCCCAGTGATTTCCCGTGGCTTATTTAATTGTCAATATATGTGTTAACTAGTTAAATAATGGCGACAAAATTGGGATTAAAAGTTGTATGCCTTTTAAGAGGATTATACCATAGCAATATATTTTCTTAAATTGATATTTTTGGAAAGCGTATTCAAAGTAGTACGCAACCAAAACTTTCTTCGTTCTTGTACTCTTGTAGTTGGTTTCGTGATTTTTTTTCTGATTGAATTGAAAACATTTTATGCATTTGATTTAATCAAAAGAAAAATAGAATGCAGTCAGGTTCACCAGGGCCGTCAGAGAAAAAAAAAAAATAGAAAGGGGGTGAACGAGGGGTCAAAGGGGTCAGGGGGTGGTGGGCATTGAAATGAAATGCAAAATGGCATTCATTCATGCAATTTGCATTGTTTGACGGTCCCCGGACGCAACAACAAAAAAAAAAACAACAACAACAACAACGACAGCAGTAACATCAACGGTGGCCGATCAGTTCGACACCCCCCAATCCGCCCTACCTCCCATTCTCCCTTCCACCCACTTTACCACCCCCACTAAAGGCCAAACGCTTAGCCAGCCACCTGTGCCCATCACCAACAATAAAAACGCAAGAGAAAGCCAGATGACAAATATACGAACGTCAAACTAAAACCCAGTGTTTGTTTTTAAAACGCTTATAAATGCATTGCCCCACATATATCTTTTAATAACATGTTTTTCATAAAAGAAACAATTATTTCATATTCTACTTATAATATAATAACAATTTTAATTCTATTAAGTATCGATCGAAAATATTTGAAAACTAATTTACCGATCAAGTGCATTTTTTAAATATTGAATAATTTTTAAATGTATTTTATGAACACTAAATAATATTTCTTAAATATTTCACATCATTTTATTTTAGTTAAAAATATCTAGACTTGTTTTTTTTTGTTCTTAAAAACAAATTAAAAAACATTAACTTAAGTAAAAAACACTGACCATTCATAAAATGTTAAGTTAAGTTGCAAATTATTACACAATAAAACTTTACAACTTTTAGAGGCATAATATAGTAGAAAAAGTGTTATTTTAAGCCAAGTAATTTCTCTGACATAATTCAAAATTTAAATTTATAACAAAAATAATGAAAATACTTGAGGTGATCTACAACAATTTTAGTGTACTTTCGTTTGCATTTGTAAGTCAAAAACCCTGATTAAATCAGATAAAGTATAAAGCCATTCTCTTATCCCCCAAAAAAGCACAAAACACAAATTAACTTTTCCTATAACTTTGCATTTCCACACATGCCTACCCCCAATTTTTGCGACCACCCCCCATTATACCATATGACAACCCCTAGGGCCGCTGACCTCAGCCACGCCCCTTTTACCCCGCCCCCTTTTGGTAGCTGCAACTTTTTGCGCTTGCTTTTTGTTTGCATTTTCTCTGCTGATTTCCTTTTTTATATTCAGCTCTCTGGTTTTCGTGTAATTTATTTGCCGTTTTGCTTGTAATTTGTTACAGTTTTTTAATCTTGCATTGTTCTAAGCAGAAGGATGCAGGGGCGGGGTATTCGGGGGGTTTTAGGGGGCAGTCAGCGCTGACTGACGGAACCGGAATGACGGTTCTCAGAAACCACATCCATTCCTAGTTATGCACAGGAAAAAAATATATTTAGGTTTGATATTCACTAACATATGGTTTTCAAATAACTCCTGGAATATCATTTTATTACATTTATCATCCCAAAACTTGAATTTTTTAAAAGATTAAGCGGATTTTCATAACATAAATATTATTATTTAAGGAAGCCTCAGAAATGTCAATACATTTTTTCTCTGTGTGTAAAGGGAGGAAAGGGATAGAGAACCCGCAATGTAATCAACATCATAATCAGTGGCGACGGACTCCCCACACCCACCCACTTGAACACACTTAAAAATTAATTACACTACATTATTTATAATAATTGCAATATTTTCTTGTTAAATCTAAACTTGTGCAACAATTAAAAATTAAAAATTAATTAATTAATTTAAGATTTAAATTTTATTAAAGTATAAAAAAATTGTTTTTTCTTGCCAGACTTTGAAAGTTTAACTTTTTATCGTAAATAGATTAAATAGGAATAGTTACACTTGTTAGCATTTACAATTATTGATGGTAGTAAATGTAATTATTTATAGGCTTAACATCTGTAAGCGATTTTTTACAGTGCATTCGCATCTGTGCACTTGCATTGTCCTGGAGCGACAGGAACAGCTGCAGCTGCTCCTCATGACGTTACTCCCTGCCCACATCCATACCCATTCTCATTCCCTTTCCAGATCCAGCTCCATCTCATCCTGGTGATTCCCTTTCAGGACCTGATGTCCGAGTTGGGCAAAACTCATTTGGCCCGCCCACATGTGTGAACTTACAGAGATGAGCGCGTGAAAAATGCATAAAGTAGTGGTAGAAGTTAGTTAATTTGTTTAGCTACTTAAAGTTATACAAATAAATGAATATCTATGTATATTATTATTTTTATTATAGATATTACCCACAAAAAGAGGGCTTACTATAAAATATTGTAAATGAATACAATTTATAGCAACGATTATAAATTTAAGCTTTCTTTGTATTGATTAACGTAACTCAATTTCGTTCGTCAAAAAGTATTAGGAAATAAATTAAATAGTTTAAATAAATTTAGGCTTGTTAACTATCTATGTTTTTTTATATATACACAAGAGGTTGTTGGTTAATACAAGTTAAGCTGTAATAATGACAAAAAAAATAAAAAAATTGTTTCAAACAATGCAATACAGTGGCTTTAAATGAAATTGTTCGTAGATCAACTCTTCAAAGTAACACAAAAACTAATGTGTCATTTAAATATTTAACAGGTGTGCTGGATGGTGATAAGCTTTGCAAATTTAAACTATCGCTTCACCCATCCAACATCCATCTCAAACGCCCCATTACAGCACTCGCACGTACTCTTTTTTAATTATTATAATTTTACATTCTAAACACAGGAACTCACACACGCTCACGGGCAACAACAATGGGCATGGGCCCAAGAATAAAGAGCGAAGGCGGCGCTATCGCATAATTCAAAATTCATTTGGAAGGCGCACAAAAGGCGTCCATGGAATTAAAATGAAAATGGAATTGGAATTGGAATCCAAGCCAGCCAGCGACCACATAATAATACATATTATTATTATTAAAAAAAAAATGAGGGAGAGAGCTGCATGGGCAGGGACCATATAAGAACTAGATGTGCGAATGCCGAATACAATAAAATAATAATCAACAATGCCCAGTCACATACAAATAATGTTTTTCTCTTGTTTTCATCTTTTATCGAAATCATAATGAGGGTGCTAGAACAGTGTGTTTTGCGGCTATAAAGATGATTTCAATTCATGAAATCACTTGTTAATCCACTCAAAATAGATTAAAACAATTACGACAAAATAGTTTGTTGTTTACAATTTCTAGCGTCTCAACGATTTTGTCGAATTAGTTTGTTTCAGTAAATTAAGAACTAAAATGCAATTCAAATAAATTGTTAGATATTTAAAAACATTTGATTCAAACTCGTAGGCTCATAACCAATATAAGTTTATTTTATAAGTTATTTTAATTATTCTAATTTTATTTTTGTATATGTATATACCTATACAGTGGGTAAAACAGGTTTATGTATATGTTTATACTTCTTTTACCCACTGTACATATATGTTATATTTAATTTTGTAACTATGTATATTTAAATGATATTTAATTAACGCCCACTACCAATTTTTAGTCTACCACCATGGCACCGCTATTCAATTTAATTTATTTCTAAATAGTTTTTTCTATTTTTTGATAAACATTTATTTTTCTATTGTAATACGTCATAGGTCTAATTAAATAAAAAAAAATTATAAAAAGACAATCAGTAGACTTTGTCTTTTAAAGTTAATATATTTAGCAAATCCGTTAACAAAATAAATTGATAATATGTACATATGCAACACAGTTTAAGACTTTACTTTTTTAATTCGATTTCTACATGGAAACCCCGATCAAACCGATTTGCCTTGACTTATTAATTTCGACAGACAATTTTTGGTGTTTATTGGTAAAAAACAACTCGTGGTAGATAAAAGGGCCAAATTAATCCTAGCCCCCTTCTTTTTCTTTTGGAAATATTTTATCAATGAAGAGTCTTTGAAATAGGGAGTATCTTTTCTAAGAATTGTGTTGATGGTGTCAACTTTAACGGAAATATTTACTTTTGACTCAAATTACTTCCGTTAATATAAGCTTTGGATATCATTGATTTATAATTCAAATTTGTGAAAAACTCTAAATAATGTTCTGCAAACAAATAATTATGGTAAACTTTTAATTGATCTTCGATTGTAAACCTTTTGCCAAAAGCTTACTCCCAAAAGAGCAGAAACTGGTTTTCTCTCCTACATTTTGGTAAATGGCTTTGCCAGAGTTCCTTTAATCAGATCAAACATTTTTTGTGAAAATTATTCACTTTCTCTGGTTTTATTGCTTCTATTTGTGATTTTGGTCGCTGGCAGTTTTCAAGCCCCGATATTTGCTGTTGTTGCGGTTCTTGCACCGCATACATATGTATGTATTTTTTTCATTTTATCACTCACCCCACCACTTCCGTATGTGGGCCACTCATCAGGGGGTGGGGGTTTTATGCAGAGTGGGGGATATGCTGATTCCAGAGCTGTGCACAGAAAGAAACAGTCTGGTTCTTTTCTAGGATAATGATTAAATTTAGATAAGTACAACTTTTTTTGGCTTCCAATACACAAATCACTTTTTATCAAAACTACAGATGAGAACTCAAAATGGAAAATTTTAGAAAAATATTTTATGGTGAGCACATTTTTTTTAATTAGACAAATATTATTAAGTTTAGTAATATATTAAGCGTATCAGCACAGTAAAAGGAACTGAGAGAAATACAACAGATTCTAAATTCATAAGCGTTTTGTAGAAATGTAATCATTAATATGGAAAATGGTAATGATTTTCAAGTGATAATCAGTTGTTCAAATTAAAAAATTTCTTAAAGTTTAAAAGCTATCTCAGTAGGATATGAAATATATATAAGATATACATTTTTGTTATATATTTGGGAAAATAAATTCCTATTAAAGGACCTTTTTTTGCTGTGTATCGCTCTCTCTCATACTCTCTCTTTCTCTTTCGTTCCGCTCTTCAATTGGCGATAAGCTCGGCTCTCGCTATTGTTGTTGTTGTTGTTGTTGTAGCTGCTGCTGCGCTGCAAGTGAAATTTCGCCGGATTTATTTTATTCGTACTTCCCCCGTCGCTTTTTCGATTTCAGTTTTGTTGTGCTCGGCGAGCGGAGCGGTGGGTGGTGGTGCATAAATTCAAAATACAAAATACGAAATACCAAACAAAAAATATAAAAGCGGGTGACTTTTATAGGAAGCCGTTAGAAAGGAACGATGCGGTTCAGCAGCTACAACCGTTATCAGTGCTTTTGCTCCGCTTTTGCTTCGCTTCTGCTCTGCTTCGCAGTCGGCGCTGCGCTGACGCGGGCAGATGACGCCGACAGCGACGTCGACGGCGGCAGCGCCAGCAGGTTTGTGTCCCCGCTCGACAGGAAATCCCAGCCAATACAACAGGAATACATTTTTAAAATTAAAAAAAAAAAACATCCATATATTTCAACTGTGCCACACTGCATTAAAATTCAAAATTTAAATATCTCCAAACAAATTCCCATAAAAATGAGAAAAATAGAGAAACGAGATGAGAGAAATTGTGATATTATGCACTAACTAAAACCACAAATTACTTAAAAAAATTAAATTGGCCAGGTTTGTGTATCTGCTAGATAGAATATCACAGTAAAAACAACAGCAACAAGTGAATCAATCCTGGCTCAATAAATTTAAAAATAAGAAATTTAAAATGTAAAACCAGCTGAACCAGCAACTGTGCCAAATGACATTAATATGCAAAATTTTATTTCGACTCAAGCGAGTTTCGCGAAAAGCGGAACGATCGTTGGAAAGTGTGAAAATCGAGGAAGTGCAGAAAAACTAATCGGCAAAGTGCCAAAAAAGAAACTAGAAGAATTTCTACTGACTTTCTATAAAAATGTAATTAAAAACATCTAGCTAACTAGCTTTCAGTTTTTTTTTTTATAATTTTTTTTTTAGTTGGCCAAAAAGTGAAAAAGAAAATCAACCTCCTAAACAATACTTATGTTTTATCAATTTTTGCAATTATTTTAGTTGGCCATTAAATGTTTAAATGAGTAACACTCATATGTATTTTATTATAATTTAAAAAATCTCTTCACTAGAACAAAATGTGAGTTTTTAAATTATTTCTATATTTTATCAGGCCTTTTTTTAGGATTTTTGAAATAAAATTTACCTAACAGCATTTAAAGCAAAAGTTTTTCAAAATTCTACTAAAGATACTAAAGTTACATGAAAACTGAATAAAATAAAAGGTTACCCAAACAATCTTTGTTTTCATTTTTAATTATGGTTTTAATTTTTTTTAGTATTAACTTGTCAAAGTTTTAACAAACAAGTAACAAAGCCTTTATCAGTAATTTAAGATATATAATTCCATTTGCATGAGTTTGCGACTTTTATAGTGATTTCCCTAAGAACCTGATAAGCTCTTATCGCATAGAAATGCAAAACTCCGAATGCAGTCCATTGGGTCGTTCAATGAACTATATAACAATAGTTAATGCCTTTAATAGCATTACAAATCTTAAAATTTCCTTTGTTTGTAGTGGCAAATTAATCGCTTTAGGCACATAATATAATATATATAATTAGGCACATTGGATAGAATGTGAAATTGCCAATTAATAATATTTTTTAAATAATCAACACAAAAATTCCGCAAAAAAGATTTCTGTGTCACTCCGTACATATTTTAAGAACTTTTAAATAGTTTTAATATATTCATATTTAAACCAAAATGTAAGTCACAAATTAAAAAGCTACTATTTGGCCAGTACCAAGGGTAATATCAATAAATACCACTCATGCAATCATATTGATGTCTAAATAGTATCATATTGTTTTCGATTTCGTTTCGGTTTATTATCCTAATAGACTGAACACCTCAACAGAAGAGTAACCACAGCATATGAGTACCTGCAGTACCATAACAAATAATATTTAATAACAATTAATTATAAACTTTCCCTTGCATTTTTAGAAAGTGGCTCTGCAGTCGGACGGACATTTGCACCTCGGAGACTGAGCAGGTGGCCGGCCTGCAGTACGCGCCCGAGGTCTTCGAGAGCCAGCGGGACTGCCGTCTGTCCTGCGGGAAGTATGGGGCCATCTGGCCGATGCCCACGGGCAGGGAGTGCTCCATCTCGCACAGCAGGGTGCGGTTCGACCCGTGGAAGGTGCGCTTCCATGTGGTGGCGCCCGGCGAGGCGGCCACCCAGTTTTTGCGGGAGACGAACCGCCTGTTCGTCTCCAATCTGCTGAAGGAGTGCACCCGGAACTGCACGCTGGAGAGCAGCAAGCAGATCCTGGTCAGGTCGACGGTTACCAACGAGAGTCTGGTGCTCGACTGGCCCACGGATGAGAGTTACTCGTTGGTGGTGCGAACCACGGACACGGCCACCTTTGTGGACATCCAGGCCGGAACGGTGTACGGTGCACGTCATGCCTTCGAAACGCTGAGCAACCTGGTCACCGGCAGTCTGACCAATGGCCTGCTAATGGTGACCACGGCCAATATCACCGATCGTCCGGCGTTTCCCCATCGCGGCGTTCTGCTGGACACGGCCCGCAATTTCGTGCCGCTCAAGTTCATCCGCAGCACGTTGGACGCCATGGCGGCCAGCAAGCTGAACGTGCTCCACTGGCATGTGGTGGACACGCACAGCTTTCCGCTGGAGATCACCAGGGTGCCGGAGATGCAGCGCTATGGGGCGTACTCCTCGTCGCAGTCGTACTCGCGCCAGGACGCCGTCAATCTGGTGAAGTACGCCCGCCTGCGGGGCATCCGCATCCTGATCGAGATCGATGGACCCTCGCATGCGGGCAATGGGTGGCAGTGGGGTCCCGCAGCTGGACTGGGCAACATGTCCGTGTGCCTGAACCAATCGCCCTGGCGGAGATTCTGCGTGCAGCCGCCTTGCGGACAACTGAATCCACTCAACGATCACATGTACGCCGTGCTGAAGGAGATCTTCGAGGACGTGGCCGAGGTGGGGGCGCCCGAGGAGACCCTGCACATGGGCGGCGACGAGGTCTTCCTGCCCTGCTGGAACAACACCGAGGAGATCCGCGACGGGATGCGGGCGCGCGGCTTCGATCTTAGCGAGCAGAGCTTCCTGCGGCTGTGGTCGCAGTTCCACCAGCGGAATCTCAATGCCTGGGACGAGATCAACGAGCGCATGTATCCGGGCATCAAGGTGCCCAAGTCGGTGATCATCTGGTCCAGCCATCTCACCGATCCGCGCTACATCGAGGCCTATCTGCCCAAGGAGCGGTTCATCATCCAGACGTGGGTGGAGTCGCAGGACGCGCTCAATCGGGAGCTCCTGCAGCGGGGCTACCGGCTGATTGTGTCCACGAAGAACGCCTGGTACCTGGACCACGGATTCTGGGGCAGCACCTCGTACTACAATTGGCGCACGGTCTACTCCAGCGGCATGCCCACTGGGCGCAGCAAGGATCAGGTGCTGGGCGGCGAGGTGTGCATGTGGAGCGAGTACGTGGATCAGAACTCGCTGGGTAAGTGCCATAGGTGCTAGATATTAACAGGCAAGTGAACTAATGCTGCTCCAATCTCCCCGCAGAATCTCGCATCTGGCCGCGAGCTGGAGCTGCCGCCGAGCGACTGTGGTCCAATCCCAAGTCGTCTGCCCTGCTGGCCCAGCGAAGGTTCTATCGCTACCGCGAGCGACTCCTGGCCCGCGGCATCCACGCGGATGCGGTGATTCCGCACTGGTGCGTCCTGCACGAAGGACAGTGCCTCTGAGATGGTCGCTCCACACTTAGTTCTAGCTCCAGCACCAGCACTGTGTACATATCTGTCAGTCTATGTTACTATGTTACTCTATTCATCAGTTATTGCCCATAAAGATCTGTTTTTAATCCAAACCAGTTTAGTTATAATAATTTGGAGTTATATTGTGTACATATGCATAGACATACAAGGGGTTACATACATATAAAAATTCGCAATACTAAATGCTTTCGATTTGACCATAGAAAATGGCGGGAAAATCATAAGAGATACTTGAACGATTGTCTACTTAATGTAGCCCTGATCGATGGCGTGCTTGAACATGTCGGCCAAACGCTGCTGCTTGGCTGGCTCCTTGAAGGGCGTGATGTTCCAGATGTCGGTGAGGACGGCGTTCTCCTTGATCTCATCCAGATCGGCCACCTCATCGTCCTCTATCATTGTCATCGGCAGCGATTCGATGCCCATGCCGACGCCAAAGCGTCCGAAGTTCTTCAGCTCCTCCTGCAGCGAGTCCCAGGAGATGATCGCCTCCGCATTGCCACCCAGATCCTGGATCAGGCTCTGGGCACTCTCCAGGTAGGCGCGAAGCAGCTTCTCGTAGTGCTGCTCCCGCAGCTCCTGGCTCGTGCACGAGTAAGTGAAGAAGCTCAGGTCCAGGGCCAAGGAGGAGCACCTGGCCAGCTGGAAGTCAATGATGATTATCTCCTGCGATTGCCCCTGCTCGTTGTACTTGGTCAGGAAGTTGGGTGTCCAGCAGTCGCCGTGCCCGAAGACGCTCAGCTTGGAGCGGGTGGAGACCAGGTTGATCAGGTCGTCGAACAGCGTGTCCTGCAGGTAGTTGCCGGCCACAGTCTCATACTTGGTGTCCGGATACACCTGCTTGATGGCGTCCTTGGCCACGTTCTTCGCCAGCACGAGGAAGTCCGCATACCACTCCCGGGTGTGTTCGCCGTAGTAGGTCTCCTCCAACGATCCCGCCGCCTTCTCGAAGTTCTCGTGATCCAGGGCATTGAAGGCCAGGGCCACGCCATGGAAACGACCCAGGGTTCGCATCGTCAGCATCGCATCCTCCAGGGAAATGTAGTCCTGGCTGCAAAAGAGCACAACAAATCGCGTTTAAAATATATTTTTAATTGTTAATATCATACGACTTAACAAATTTCAAGCATTCATAGGTTTAACCAAATGAAATTTATTAAATCCATAATCAGATATATAGGTAAGACGGAAAGCTACTTATAATTCCTTATCGTTTATAAATCAGAAAAAAACAAGGGAGCTTGTAGATAAGATAATGCTGATATAGTGGAAATGATAACAGTAACCATAACTTTCAGTTAGCAATTAATTTTCTATTATTTGTTTAAATTACTTAATACTACATAGTACAATATATAAGCGCGAATACATAGGCATATGTAAACCTATTTGTTTTTAAATTGAATTTATTTATAATCTTTAATTTCTACTTGCTCAAACGTATACTTGTTTTAAAATATTAATAATTTTTTGAAAAATTGCAAACTTCTGATTTAACTCTAGGCTATTAAATGTGCTTAGAGTACATAGAATAATATATATCGATAATTTTTTAAGTTATTAATATATGTATATACATATATATATTTTTTTTAATTCAACTTTTTTAGCTTCACTTTCTCTAAGATGACCTAGTTTTATATGCTTTTATAGTGGCTTATTTGTTATCTAGGTATTTAAATAGACAAAAACTCACCGCACTGGGGCCGTATAGCCTCTGGGACCCACATCCTCGAGGGCGATGAAATCGTTGACCCCGTCGCACAGGCTGGCCAGGCACAGGGGATACTCGACGAATGGCTTCTTGGGCGCCGGCTGGCGGGACTTCTGGAAGGCCTCGATGGCCGGGATAACCTTCGTGTAGAAGTGGATCTCGTTGCGGAAGAACAACACCGACCGGAACAGTCGCCTTCGGTGCAGATTGTCGGGCATGGCCTTCACGATCACACTGACCTCCAGTTGCTCCTCATCCTGGCCGGCCTGCGCCTCCTTCACGCCAAAGATGGTTATCCGGAAGACCCGGCTCAGATAGGCGTCGCCCTTCTTGCCGCTCGGTCCGAACTTGTAGGAGGTGTGCCGGGTGCCGCCCTTATTACGGATGATCTCATCCAGCGTGTCCTCCGAGAACTTGGCCGAAATGTCCGCGAAACTGGGAAAGCTGCTCATCGTGGTGGCGTCAAAGTGTGTCTGTCGCTGGGGGAGATCTCGATCTGCTATTTGTAACGGCGTAATCGGCAAAAAAATAATATAAGAAGCAAACAAATTAGAAAGCTATTTTCGGCAAGCCGTGTTTGTATACCCTTGCGGTATAAGGTTAAGGTAAATATTTGATTTATTATTTTATGTTGATAAACTTTAAATCGTATTAATAATAGATTTATTTACATACATACATACGTATGTATATCATGCGATTTGGATAAAGATAACGGGAAATATCATCAAAAGAAAAAATATAAGTCAAAGATGAGAGAGTAAATAAATAAAAATGGGCGACATTTAGTTAGCTTAATATTCTTGTTATTGTTATTGCTCTGAAACAGGTGCGTAAACATTTTTATTGTATAAATGTATTTGTTTATACACACTTTATGGAGTCGCGTTCCAAAGACCTGAATAAATTAATAATACACTTTGCAAGAGTATGCAGAATAAAATACACGTCAGGTTTGCCACTGGCTCTGCCGCAGTCGACGTCGCTGCCCGCACTTACCGGCCTTTTTTTTCCACTTCCCACAGTGCGTATACCGTTGGTGACGTTTATGGTTTTGCCCTTTTGACCGCTAGCTCGCCACAAACTCTTTTATGTACTGATTTAGATTCGGATCGCGGGTGGTATAAAATGGAAAATGAATTAAAAACGCACAGCAACAGATTATTCGGACAAACAAATACACACGTGCACTTGCCACTCACACAAGTGTATTCAGAATACAAATGAAGGAGCGGCTAGAGATGCGCCAGCCGGAGTTCCTAGCCGGTTTCTGGCTGGTTTCAAGTCAGTTTTCCCTTATTTCATAGCTAGTTTCTAGCTACTTTATAGCCGACAAATAATTTCACCCAACATTTAGATATTTACCATAAAGTTGCTAAATATTATTATATTTGTATCACTTAATGGGTAAACAATACATTTTCTTTGTTGCCATACGAAACAATCTACATTTTATTTAAATTTGTATTTTATTTTATCTTCATTCATTGGAAGCAACTTTAACATCCTATACTGTTATAAGAAATTCTTTAATTAAACCAGACAAATTTTTTCTCATGTTCTCATGTTTTTTGTATATCTTCAAAATATTAATAATACTTAAAATAAAATTAATCAGGGAATATATTTTGAAGTCTTATATTAAAAGTTTCATATCTAGTCTTTTAAAAATGGTGTTTTCCATCACTAAACAGATGTCTGGCACCCAACCAGTGTTGCGCTACGTCCGAAATAAGTGTTAAGAAGCGTTGGCAGATTGCACGTGTGCCGCTCTGGCACTGGTAATTTGTTATTTTCCTTGTTTTATTTTCGAATAATCCGGCAAAATGACGGCCTTAGAGCCAGCGACGAAGAAAAAGCGCATATCGAAGAAGAACAAATCGGCGTGGCGCAAGACAGACATCCAGGATGTGGAGCAGTTTCTCGAAGATCAGCGCCAGGAGGAGCGCATTGGGTGAGTTAGTGGGTAAACAATGTGCGAGTTCGGACTTTAACTGGATACTCCACCGTTTTCAGGACATTCACGGACAAGCAAGACGATGATCTGTTCGTCCTGGATGCCAGCCCGCAGAAGACAACCAAGTCCACCGTCCTGAGTGTGAAGCAAAAGAGGAAACTGAACGCCAAGAAGCCCATGCGAAGCCACCAGGCACTGGAGAACACATCCCGTGTCCAGGATCCCATTGCCAAGCGGTACGTTTCGACTTTATATCCGAGAGATAGTGGGTAAACAATAACAATGCCACCTACCTGCAATCCCCGCAGCAACCATGTGCGCCAGAAGAAGAACGGACGCAACATCGAGCTGGAGGTCTGCAATCCAACCAAACCACGCCATCGCCAGGCCAACAGCGATCGTGCCCAGTACTACGAGAAGCTGGAGCAGCGGCTGGCGGACAAGCGCAACAAAAAGGTGGCCATCGACAAGGACATCTGGCAGGAAGTGGACTTCCGCGACGCGATTCCCGGGCTGAAGGACGAGAAGGGCTGGATCAGTCGCGATCTGGCCCTGCACACGGCCGGAAACATTGGCAAGAAGGTGGTCAAAACACACGCCAGTCTGCACCACAAAACCACCAAAGCAAAGTGAGTGGATCTAAACTTACTTGTTAAAAAGCCATAAAAGGGCACATATTTATAATAACAATGTGGTTTTACCATTACAGTTTTAGATATACTTATGCATTATTCTTGATTAATTTCCAAAAAAACCCTTTATTCATTGGTTTATTCCTATTTTTCAGGAAGTTCGAGCTCCCGCATCCAGGCATGAGCTACAATCCCGCGCCGGAGGACCATCAGGCGCTCATCTCGGAAGTGGTGGAGCGCGAGGAGGGCATCATCAAGAAGGAGCAGCATCTGAAGCGCGTGACCACCAGCATGTTCTCAAAGGTGACGCCCGAGGAGCGGGACCGACGTCGCCTCGAGGAGATGAGCCAGGGCATCGAGGACGAGGAGGGCGCCGAAAAGAGCACAGAGAACGCGGAGGAGGATGCGGATAAGCCCTACCACACCATCAATGCCCCCGTGGAGAACAAGAAGAAGAGCAAGCAAGCCCGCCGCAAAGAGCTCAAACAGAAGGAGCTGTCGCGCCAAACGGAGCTCAAGCGGAAGCTCAAGCAACAGACTGCTGATCTGATTCGGTAAGCATTGGCATACAATTTAGGAAAGACTGACAGCATCTTCTAATGGCTGATTTTATCCACGTGCAGCATCAAATCGATTCGCCACGAGCTGGACGATGAGGAGGAGGAACTGAACGACCTGAAGAAGCGGCGCAAGCAGCGCGCCGAGAAGGCAAAGTTCGAGCCGAAGCGCCTGGGGCGGCACAAGTTCGAGGAGCCCGACCTGGATGTGAACCTGCCCGAGGATTTGGCCGGGAATCTGCGCAACGTGAAGACGGAGAGCAGTCTGCTGAAGGACCGCTTCCACACGCTGCAGCGCAACAACATGCTGCCCACGACAAAACTGGTCAGCCGCAAGAAGGCCAAGGTCAAGCGATTCGAGCGCAGCAGCCACAAGGAGCCGGGCGTCAGCTATCAGGACCTCAAGGATCGCCGCCGGGCGGCCGCTGCTGCAGCCAAGGCGGCTGCCGATATCAAGATATAGAGTTCAGTTATTAGGTTTCTTTATTTTTAACGGAGCTTACAACAAAATGTACTTTTCTATAGCATTAAAATCCACATTCTTCTTCCCCCCCAAGAAAAAAAAAAAACGTCATTGTTTTCCTCTAGATCAGGGATTTGCCCTGACCGCGTTTCAGTTTCGGATTATTCTTCTTTTTCTTCTTGGACAGCGGGGCGGCCAGGTCGCGATCCTCTGGCTGCTCGATCGGTCCATCCAATCGCTTGACGCCACTGAAAAGAAAGAGAGGAAAAATGAAGTTTAAATAGAGTTCTGTTCTGTTTAATCATGGGTTCTGTTTAAAAAATATCTGAATGGGGATTTACTAACTAAATTCTAGAGATAAATTAAATATGTATATTTTAGATACCATTTTTTTATCTGTTGCTTCACAGAAAATACATTTTTTAAACGACAAGAGTGATAAAATCCATGAAACAAATTACAAAACTTTTAAACTGTACTGCTTCTATTTAAGTTGTCACATATTGATGATGATCAGTGGGCGAGGGAATGCTCTCAATGAAACGCACTGTATCTGCGCACCTACCTCTTGACGGAGAGCAGCCCGCTGCCACCGCCCGTGCCATTGGTCTGCAGCGCCTTGGACCAGTCCTCCTCGCTGCCCTTGATCTGGAACTCGTCCAGCTGCTCGGCCTTCAGCCGCTTCAGCTCCTTGCGCTGCTGCTTGCTCAGCTTGTGGGCGGTCTGGTCGAGCTCCTTGTCGAGCGAAAGGGTGATGGGCTGCAGCTCCTCGCCCCTGGACAGATCCTCCTCCTGCAGCATGCCGCCCTCGATGTGCTGCTCGAGGATCGATCGGAAGCACTGATTGCACCGCTTCATGGCATCGAAGAATTTGGCCAGCAACTGATTGCCCGGCATATTGAGCTCCAGGCCGAGTGCATCGACCGTTTTGCCCTGCACGCCCAGGGCCAAAAGGATGCCCTGCTGCACCAGATCCAGCTGCAGACCCTCGATCCTGCCCTGGAAATACAGCTGGGCAATGTCCGTGAGCAGGTCGACGATCAATCGAAACTCGGACTGCTGGCGGGCGTAGCTCTCCAAGCGCTGCAGATCGTGCGGCAGAAAGAAGACGTCGAGCATGGGCTTATCCAGGACCTTCAGGGCACTGGCCTCCGTGTCCACGGACTTGTTCTTCAGCAGGGCCAGGCAGAGTTTCGTTTCGAACTCGCGGAAGGTCTTGCCCATCAGCTTGAGCACTCGGCGGCGGAAGTCCTGGTAGTACAAGCCCAGCCAGGGCGTGGCATTGGGCGTGTGCAGCATGATGCAGCTGTGCTCGGCGGTCAGTTCGTTGGATTTCTGGCTCAAGTACACTGGCACAAAGCCGGCGCTCTTCCAGAACTTCAGCAGCTCGGATGTGAGGCCGTAAGAGGTGCCGATGTAGTCCACCGCCTCCGGACTGCGTTCGTGCAGGCGCTGCAGCAGTGTGGGGATGCGACTGCGTGGCCGAATCTGCTCCTTCAGCAGGCTCAGCTCCTCCTCCTCCACCTCCTCGATGCCTGCAAAAGAGTGGGTACAAATATTTATAGAGAGAAATCTTAAGAAATCCGACCAAGCCGAAGCACCCACCTTTGCCGGCATCCCCACTGGCAGTCGGTCCATCCTCCAGATTGGTGTGCTTTCTCGCATAGTAGTCCTTGAGCAGCTGAATGGCTCGCTTGCCGTAGCCCATCCGCTGGTAGTTTGGATGCGTGGCCACCCGCACAATGCGCACGCCACACAGCTTGGGGAAATCGCGATCGCCATACTGCTCGGCAATGTTCCACGGTATCAGATCGCCGGCCGCCTTCTTGCCTCTGCCCAGCGAATCGCTGATGCTCTGGGCAGAGATCTGGCCCTCCAGGGCCACCTGGATGACCACCAGAATCTCTGGCAGGGCATCCATTCGCTGCACCGGTCCCAGCAAACAGAAGAGATGGTGGGCCGGGGCATCGCTCATCATCTGCAGATCGTTGGGCGTGTTCTTGTAGTGCGAGGACACGTAGATGGAGACGAGGCGATGGAGGAAGGCCTCGGCTGCCTTGTGGTACGAGAACAGGGCATCCCTGTCCACATAGTACAGCTCACAGGCGTCCGGGGTGGGACATCCGGAGCTAATGCTCGGCACCGTGCTGGCGTCCAGACACAACAGATTGATCAGCCACCTTTCGATGTCGTCGTTCTCCTGGTAACGAATCGATTCCTCCAGTTTCAGCGGCGGCCGCGCATTGTTGTCCTTCTGCAGCTGGGAAATGAGCTTCAGGCTCAGCGATCGGCCAGTGCCCTCGTAGCCATTGATCGTGCTGGCCATGAACACCAGATACGGGCCGATCATCTTCTTCACCAGCGGCAGGGGGATGGCAGCCGCCTCGTCAATCAGCAGCAGATCGGCGGCATTCAGCAGATGGGTGTCGCTGGGCGCTATGTATTGGATCGTCTGGCGGCTGCTTCTCGTGATGTTAATCCTGATAATGGCCTTCTTGTAGTCGGCATTGGTGGAGCGAATGATCGTGTAGTCGGCATGCTCCTGGTATTCCAAGGCATCGAAGCCCTTGAGCACGAATTCAAACAGAGTGATCAAGTTCTCCGGATG